TGTGTGTGTGTGTGTGTGTGTGTGTGTGTGAGAGAGAGAGAGAGAGAGAGAGAGAGAGAGAGAGAGAGAGAGAGAGAGAGATGCTTACAGGAGCTGGGCACTTTACCGGGTAGCTACACCACTGAGAAAATGTCTTTTCTTGCCCCATCAATAATTAACTACTCATAGATCCTCAAGAGAACAGGGACCTCGTGCTCCCCTCCCTCCGTGACTGGGGGATAACGTTCATCTCATCAGAGCCTCTGTTAGCTCAGGATATACCAGCTCCATGGCATAGATGGTACACAAGGATGCACAACACTTCACCCCTTCCTCGGGCTCTGTGCTGTGGATCCAATCAGAAAGCAGTTGGCTGTCCCCTTAACAGTCCTGCCACTACTGCATACGTGGCACATCTTCTCTGGATGGCCACTACTACAGCGTTAGGGACTACAGCTAAGTAAGACTCTTGATGATTCTCTCTGGTAGCCTGAACCTCCTGGGCCTAAGAGGGCTAGACAGCAGGGTAGATGCTTCCAGCCCAGTTCCAGACTGACTTTTCTGTACCCCGTGAGGAAAGTATGTACTGTTTTCAGTAATAAGGTCTTACCGTCTGGTTCTAGGGGTCAACCAACCTCAGTGTCACTTGGCCATGTTGCTTCAGGGGCTTCAAGGGTCTCCCTGACAACTTGTTGGGAGGGGCCACCCCCTGACACTCCATCAGGTTATGTCATGGCCCACCCTGACACTCCATCAGGTTATGTCATGGGCCTACCCTGACACTCCATTATGTTATGTCATGGGCCACCCCTGACACTCTGTCAGGTTATGTCATGGCCCACCCCTGACACTCTGTCAGGTTATGTCATGGCCCACCCCTGACACTCCGTCAGGTTATGCCATAAGTTCACTTCAGTGGACCCCAAGACCATGTAAGCTGAACTTTCCAGGTTAGTTTTGACTTTTCAGTCACTTTGTTGACTGTGACCGGGGACTCTGAAGAGGGTCCTAGCAGCTCATTTCCCTGTCATTATTTTAACTTCTCACAGCTGAGGCTAACTGAGGTGAAACACTGATCGTGCCAGGGGGACTCCAAGGACCTTGGTTTTTCCTTCTCATCTTTCCCTACAGAAGATCCTTTCAGGGAAGGAGAAGGCTTCTGTATCTGCCATACATATCCTCTGTGATCACCGGACACAACCAGAACCCACCAGGAGCTGACCACACCCAGGTAGCCGTCGTTTCTCTTCCATGCCCACCCACACAGGCTCTGCTCTGGAAGTGCCCCGCCGGCACTAACACCCACTCTCCAAGCTGCGTTCATGTGCTACACGGTGCAGAGTGAAGTCCGAGTTCCGCTTCAGGTGCCCATTGCTGAGGGGTGCCAGCAAGAGCGTCTCTGCTCTTCTCCACGTGATACCACACCTCCGGCAGCTGGAAAGACAGTGTACGGAAGGTGGGGCCACTTCCAAAGAGGGAACGGAGTCTGGTTCCTGCATTCAGGACTAATGCTGTCTTGGAAGCAGAATGACTAGAAACCACACAAATTGTGTGACCTTGTTTCTTAGGATGTATTGCAGTCCTCCGAGGGAGATGTGTCCTTCCACATCTCAGCCCCGATAAAGTCCTAGTGTCTTACTGAGCTGGGTGAAGCATTCCTAGGTGGTGAGTTGGCTCCTGGCACAGTGTCTGTGTGCTCCTCCCGAGTGATGAGATGTAGGGTAGACAGGTCGCTAAGGAGAGCCTAAGAAGGCCGACTTTGGGTTCTGCTTGGGAGAGAAAACGCTGTAGCCGAGGGGGTGGGAGAGCTCCAAAGGGAGTTTTTACCTAGAAAGGCAGCTTGTCCGGCTTCTTCCTCACAGTACTCAGCCTCCCAGATTCTCTCTCTTTATAGCCCATTTGCTCAGCAGCTGTGTAGCTGGTAGAAAATATGGCCACCCACATCAGGTCACTCCAATCTTGGCCATCTCCTGTGCTGAGCTATAAAAAGCATCCAATGGGTCTGGAAATGCAGCTCAGACGAGGTGACTGTCCAGCATGCACACAGCCCTGGTTAAGTCCCCAGCACCACACAGAGCACTCGTCAAGTGGTTATTCATGCCAATGGCATCACTTGCTCTGTGGAGGCCCGAAGATCCTCGGATACATAGCGAGTCTAGGACAGCCTGGGCTATGTGAGACCTTATTTTGTTTCCAACATTTAATGCTGACCAGAGAAGGTGATGGCTACATCAGTGATTCCCAGCTTCCTGCTGTTTCTGTCCTCTGAGAACACATGGGCAGAAGGTATAAGATGGCCCAGCCAGCAGCTCGCCAGTAAGTCTCTTGGCTCTGATGTACAGCAGGGAGGGAACTGGTGAAGACACCTGTCTTCATGGGAAAGGACAGTGGAGTCATTATGGCTAGAGCTCAGGGCACTGCCTGAAATTAATGGCTGGCTGGGATAATGTCCCAGGACACAGTAAGGGTCATTAAGCCCAGCCAGTTATTAGTCCCCAGTAAGAGCTTGATGCCAAGGTCATTAGAGCTGGTATTGGGTGAAAGATGCCCAGAAAAATCCACAGCGCATTAGGAGTCATGAGGTGTTTCCAGAGGATGAGTCCTCAGAGGCCCAAAGCTGCAGACAACCTCTCCCACCACCCCATTCAAGGGGTAAGCAAGGCTCCTGGGAGCTTGTGGGAGGCAAGTGGGCAGCAGGATGTCCAGGGGAATGTGCATGTGTCCAAACACGTGGAACATGAGAACATGAGTGTGTACATGCATGTGGAACAGGGGAACATGCATGTGTCCAAACACGTGGAACATGGGAACATGAGTGTGTACATACAAGTGGAACAGGGGAACATGCGTGTGTACATGCATGTGGAACAGGGGAACATGTGTGTGTACATACATGTGGAACAGGGGAACATGTGTGTGTACATGCATGTGGAACAGGGGAACATGCATGTGTACATACATGTGGAGCTCTAATTTTACTTTTGCTGTCCCCTCTGAACTTTGGCAATTTTAGAAGCATTTTTTTTTTATCATCCTAGAACCCAGGACAGGGTATGCACCCTTCAGTGGGCTCCAGATCATTTTGGAATGTGTAGATTAATCCTTCTATCACATTCCTGGCCTCTTTCTTAACCTAAAACAGCCCATAAAATACATGCCCGCCCCCCCAGGGGATAGGGGAACATGACAACTTCTATCATGGCTAACTCTTTCACTCTGTGGTGACAGGAACAATTCCTACTTAAGGAAACAAGCTAAGAAATCAAGGTCTGATTTTTGCCACAGCCGGAGGAGCAAGAATTCTCTCTTGTGACCTGGCTGCTGCCTCTGGAGCCTTTCTTAAGAGAACAGGCCAAGCCAAGTCAAATTAGAGCTGACACCTAAAATACCCGGAGATGTCCTTGTACACATTTGCAGCCAGCAACACCATGGCTTCACTTCTTAAAACTCTGATTTATTTGGCAGGGGGAAAGGTATCTTGGAATGTGATGCCCATTAGCTCAGTAATGACACTGGCCTTGCTCTGGGGAGTTGGGGGGAGGGCGTAGTGCAGCCCGTTGGTCTGGAGCAAACAGATATATTAAATGGCTTCAGGTGTTTTGAGACACTCTGGCCTTGCAATCTGATGTTTTCCTGTAATTACCAGGCTGTTATTAGCTGTCAATCTCAGTCCAGGAGCCTTGGTGAAAGCCACGCAGATTATTTAATGTGAGTCACCAGGAAAATGTTACTCTCTCGAGAAGATGCCCTCCCTGCTGTTCAGTGACAGGCTCACCCACTACTCTCTGGGGCCACAAGCATCAGCAATCTGTCATGCAGCATCTCTCTCCACCCCGAGGCACCTGTATTGTTCCCACCCCTTGCCTGGATGAGGACAGTCAAGCTCTGTGGCAGAAGGCAGGTGGCACTGAGCCATGTCCAAAAATTGGGTTTTTAGTGTTGTTGGCCTCAAACCTGCTTCTTGTACTTCCCAGATATGGACATCACTGAGCAAGTTGCTTAGCTTTTCAAGGTCCATTTTCATCCATAACATGAACATGGGAAAGCCGATCTCAAAGGGGAGGCTTGCCACCTCAACCCACAATGCAACTTGCCCGTCGCTGCTCACCCCCTAACTCTGGGCTCATTCTTGATACTTGTCCGCTATTGGGTCTGTCTTCCTCCATCTCATCCCTCCCCATCTCATCAAGCCACCCCCCTCACCTTTGTGCCGATAGTACTCTTAGCTCTGAGTTGGTATCTCTCCCTCACGCCTCACCTAGATGTTCCTGGAGTCATCTTCAATGTGCAAATCAAGCCCTGTCATGCTTCTGATGAACCTTCCAGGGGCTTCCTCCCTTCGCGCTCTGCCGCAGCCCCGGCACCCACAGCTTGTCTCCGTCTGTCCTCCAGCAGTCCTCTGTACAGACATTCCACTGCCATTTCCCCGCGGCTGTCTGTCTGTCTGACGTGCATCGTGTCGGCAGCTCCCCCTCTCTGTGTGACCCCTTTTCAAGTCCTTCAGAAGTAACTACACATGTCAAGAAATCCTCCCACTTTCCCATCTCACCAGCCACTTTTCCCACCTCTTGTCACTCTCTCCCATGACCCAGGGTTTATTTTTATGAACGCGTGTGTCACTCTAAAGTATCCTGATTTTGGCTTGTGTGCCTATGTGTTACTGTCTTTCTCATATTCTGGGATGTGAAAGGAGAGATACTATCTTTTTACACAGTTTCTCTAGCACCACAAAAGATGGCCAGCACAGAGGTACTCAAATGCTTTTGAACAAATAATTGAGCAATAGGCATGTAGAGCACTTACGTGGGGCGTGGCACAAAAAAAAACGCCACCACATGGGTGTGCTTGCTGTGTTTACGTGTGACCATTCAGCAGGTAACCAGTCCCAGAGACTCTCTGACTTGGGAAGTTGGTTTTATTTTCTAAAGTGCAATGTTGGAGTTTTGTGTATGTTTCATAACCATAAGTAGTACTGAATTAACTTCAAGGGGAGGCCTGGGAAAGCCCATAATTCCTTTTTAATTTAATTGCATTTTAATGAGCTTTTAACATTCAGTCTTATTAAGATATAATTTGTATGCTATAAAATTTACCCATTTTATTTTATTACCATTTTTATACGGGGTCTCCTGTAGCCCAGGCTGGCCTCAAACTCACTGTGTAACCAAAGATGACTTTGAACCTCTGATCCTGTCTCCACCTCTTAAGTGATGTGAAATATAACTCCTGGTGACAGATTCACTGATTTAAATTCAAGTTATGTGGGCATCACTGTGATCTAATTTTACAATATTTCCATCATTCTGAAAAGAAAGCCCAAGCACCTTTATAGCCCCTGCCCATTTCCTGTCCACCCTATTTGACCACTGGGCTACTTTGAATCTCCAGATCGCCATTTTTAAGCTGTTTGTTGTAAAAGGAATCACTGTCTGTGGTCACACATTCTACAGTTTGTTTTTCCATTCACTAGCTTATTTGGGTTCTATCTCTTGTTTATTATGACTGGTGTTGTGAACACTCAAATACAAGCCTTTATGTGGACTTACATCTTCCTGTCCCTTGAGGAGCCTAGGAATGGCATTTCTGGGTCATATGATAATCTTGTTTAATGTCTTCAAGTTTGCCAGATTCTTCCATTCCCACCTGCAGAGCACAGGGCTCCAGTCATTGCCCATGTGTCACAACGCCTCTGTTGATAGCCCTTCTGACGGGTGGGAGGAAGTGCTTGTGATTTGCAGGTTTCTAACGACTAATGGAGTAGACATCTTTTTTTGTGTGTGGGGGATTCTTTTGCCATACTTTGAGTTTCTGATTCTATGTATTGCACCTTACATTCCACACTAAACAAGTCACCCAAAGTAGGTGACTATTGAACTGGGAGTCAACATTCAGTTGACTTCTTGTATGTGTTGAGCCAATGCGCTGGTTGATCTTCAACGTCAACTTGGCTGGATGAAGAGTCCCCTAAGAGATCAGTGAGGCACACCAGGGGGTCTGTGAGGGTGTCTCCAGTGAGGTTAACTGAACAGGGAAGACTCGCTCTGCCTCTGAGTGGTGCCATCTGCTCACTAAGGTCCCAGAGAGAGTCAAACTGGAGGGAGAAGGCCAGCTGAGGGTTGGCATTCCTTTGTTCTGCCCTCTGTCTGTCATGAAGACTCTCCTCTGCCACGGGCTCCTGTTGCTGTGATGATCTGCCCAAGCACATGGGGCCAAAAAGCTCTGAATCCAACC